CAGAGCAATTCTATGATGAATATTTTAGAGGAAAAGAAGAAGAGAGAACAAGAGATGGGGGAATAATTAAATATTGAGAGGACATGGCTGAAGAAAGGGATAAAGAAAAAAGAGAAGAAAGAATATGAGAAGAAGGACCATCAGGTGGAAAGGTGGAACCAAAGGAAGCAAGACAGCAAAGAATGATGAGAGCAATAAACTCTACATATAAAGTGTAAACAAGGGAAGAAGAGAAGAAATTCATGTCAATAAACATAAATGGACTGAATTCGGCCATCAAAAGGACAAAGACTTTTCATAAGTTAGAAAAATTAAAATTAGACATAATTTGCTTACAAGAAGTATATATTAAAAAGCAGCATGTCCAAGTATTGGACTATTCTAGAATTGGTAATTTATATACTTCATTGGCGCAACAAAATAAAAGCTAAACTAATTTTTAGAGATGAAGAGGGGAGGATATCGATGATGGAGATAATAGACAACAATCAAAAGATACTCTTAATAGCAATATATGCACTGAACGATAAACAAGAGGAGTTTTATAAAAAAAAATACACAAGAAAATAATAGAATTGGAACATGATAATTTATGTATTCTAGGAGATTTCAATGCTATAGTGGATATAGAGTTGGACTACAAAACACAGAAAATAAATAAGAAAAACAGGAAGACACTGCTGAAATCTTTTTTTAAGATGGCAGAGGAACTAGGTATTCGAGGCATTTGGAGAGAAATGAATATCAAGAATAGACAATATACATTTTACTCAAATAGACATTTATCAAAGTCAAGAATAGATCTGATTTGGATGCCAACAGAATTAATCTCAAATGTACAAGAAATAAACATCAAATCATGTACTTGGGCAGACCATAATCCAATATGGGTCAAGTGGAAAGGGCAAAAGAAAAGGATAAGATGGACTTTGAATAATTCAATTTTGAAGGAAAAATAATTCTCAAAAAATATGGAAAAAGAAATGGTCTTCTTCTTTAAAGAAAATAAAAAAGAGGAAATCTCACTACAAAATGTATGGGATACTATGAAGGCTTACCTTAAAGGACTAACAATAACTTATACAAGAAGAAGGAATATTAAAAAAGAGATAAGCACAACAGATATTAGAAGAGGACTACATGAAACTAGAGAAAGAATTACAAAGATATCCACAACAAAAGAATCTTAAAAGCCAAAAGGACATAATTAAGCACAAGTTGAGATTAATGGAAAAAGAAGAGCTGGCACAAAAATTAGGAGACCTAAACAAAACTATTTTTGAAAATGCAAATAAACCAGGAAGATGGCTAGCATATAAACTGAAAATGGAGAGGGATCAGAAAAGGATAATGCAATTAATAGATGAGAATGGAATTGTTTGTTATGGGAATGAAGAAAAGAAAGAAATAGTACAAAAGTATTATGAGAAACTATATGGTCAAGAGATAAATGAAGGAGAAAAAGTTAAACAATACTTGTAAGAAGCAGAACTACCTAAAATACCAGATGAAATTAAGTTAATGTTAGAAGGGAAAATAACAATGATGGAATTGACATAGGTGATAAACAGACAAAACACTGGAAAAGCCCTAGGCCCGGATGGGCTACCAGCAGAACTATACAAAACATTACAGGAATCTCTTGGCATTATAATGTTAGAGGTAATGAATGAAGTATTGACAAAGGCAAAAGTACCTAATTCATGGATGGAGGCATATATTACTCATATACCAAAGGAAGACTCAGCATTTTATACATACAGATCAAAATGGCTTTTTGCCTAAGAGAAAAATAAAAGATAATATGAGGACAATATTGAACACACTGGAATACTATGAAGTGCATCCAGAGAAGCAAATGACATTGTTTTTTTTAGATGCACAGAAAGCATTTGAAATTGGCAATTTATGTTGGCGCAAATGGAAGAGATGGGTTTTGGGGAAAGATTTGTCAAAACAATTGAGGCAATATACTATAAACAATCAGCAAAAGGAAAGATGGTTTATTGATGAACAGAATGGGTTCCTGTGCAGAAAAAGGAAGAGATGCTTAGAGTGCCTGGGTGTTATGCCTTCTGTTGGGCTTTGAATTTGAGCTTGTGTTCTGATTGGTTATCAGACTCCCATGGGGCCATGCAGGGGTAACTTTATAGGTTGTCTTTTGAATCCCAGGCTTGGCTGACTCTTGCTGGGTGGTGATGTAATGAAAGGGCTTTTGGCAATTCCTATTATGGCTCTGCCTGAAGAAAGTAGATCTTTGTTATGTAGAATAGTCGGCCCCAGGCCTTAATGGCCCATTAACAAAGGTGGGGGGGTGACTTTCTGCTTCTCTGGGTTTCTACTTTTTTAGGGGAAATATTCTGCCTTTTTAATATATCCTAAAATATTTCATTTTTCTAGGAGAAGGGTGGATTTTAACTTCCAACAGTTTAATCTGAAATTGCAGGTTCACCAATAAAATTTGAAGCTTTTATTCCCCAAGCCGCAGTTTTGAAAGGGGCATTTGCTAACTTCGGGTCACTACTGTATGTTTAAACTTTTAGCTGTTTAAAAGAGATGTTCTTAGTCCCATCTTCTATCTCTGATACTTTATTCCTCTTAGAATCCTACAATTTTGAAGGTGGGAAATCTACTGAATTATTCTCTGGACAACCCCTCTTTCAAAAGCCAACTTTTGAAAACTTTCTATGACTCTCCATTTCAATTGCATTTGTCCTGGGATTGATTGATTGATATGGAAAAGGTGTGTGCATTTAGGATATTTCAATTTCTAAATCCTATTTTTTTTAATGTAGCATTCTGGCAGGTTTTACTGACAAGTCTTGTCCTGCCTATCATGAAAATGTTAAACATAAGTTTTAGATATCTACAGCTGAACATTTGGTAGGATTTTATTTTTCAGATAAGTATTTGAAACTACATTTTCCTTCTTTTCTGTAGAGAATTGTTTGCCCATTCCTTCTATTCATACCCATGCCATGTCACTAATAAAAAAGTTGAGAATTCAGGACTCCTGTCCCTAGGACTGCATTGGCTTTTTTGGCAACTGAAGCATACTGCTGGCTCATATTTATGTGATTGTTCACTAAGACTCCAAGATCCTTCTCACAGTTAGTACTATTGAGCCAGGTACCACCTATACTATATACATTTGGTTTTTCTTGCCCAAATGTAGAATGTGCAATCACTGAACCGGTTATTATACCGGTGGAATCCCACCCCTGGAGATAAGATTCATTTGACAATACTTGTTCTTAACAAGTCCATATTGAGTTATGGTAAATATCACTGATTGAAGTTCCCTGATCTTTCTTTTCCTCATTCTTCAATGTATCTGAGAGGTAAGACCTAGATATTCTGCCAGGCCAACAATAAATTCTTTTAGTGGCCTAGAATGCAATTTATAGGGCCTGGAGATTAAAACTGACGCAAAATAAATTACCATGTTTCAGTCATTCTTAAACATCAAACCTTCTTCCTACTCCACATTTGCCTTGATGGAATGCATACATTTTATTACAGAAGAGCAAATGAACATAACTTGAGCAGCTCTGCCTTTTCTTTCTTACTCTTAGGACATTCCTGGAGCAGCTGGCATACTGATTCTTTTCCTTTTATTTTCAATAGATATGAAGGATGCTGCTTTTAGCACTATTCACCAAACTGTGTTCTTTCTGAGCTTTAACATTTGTGACATCCTTGTTACATTGCTGGGCTAACTATGTGTATTTCTTCTAGATGACTTATCTTCTTTCTCTATTCATTTTCCCTTTTGTTTTCACATTTTTCTCTGAGCTTATTGTGCAGACACAGGGACTGCTGTCTTCTTTCTTTATTTCCTTAAAAATCCAATTTTGGAATGGTTTTCAGAGAAGTCTTTAGCTTTTCCTTTCTCAAAACTTCCTAGCCAAGCTCACTTACCTATTAACATCTTCCCAATGGAATCCTGGTTAACAGGCACCGGTACTGTTCCTGAAATCCACAATTCATATTCAATGATAGCTTGTTTTAATTTTCTTGCAATCCCAGAATTCCAGCCTAACAAGGCTACTGTCTTTCAGTGTTTACTTAGGGCAGTTTAAACAAAGACTAAAGATAATTAAAATGTATGTTTACAACTTTTGACTCTCCAGTGCTTTTTTGCCATTATGCCTTTTTCTTTCAAGCAAACATGGCCCTCAGCCCAGTTGTTTGCTAATTTTTTTTAAAAAAAAACCATTGTCCTGCTTAAACCTCTAAAGCATTGGTTGAAGACAACATCGCTCTCTTTTTAAATTGATGTAGCAGTTTGGAGCACTGAAAAGTGGCAATTTTAAATAAGTTGAGGATTTCCACCCCCCTTTCTCATGATGCCTCACCCAGTTTTTAAACTCTGTTTGTGGCTCACTAAATAAATTCAACAGGAATAAGGTATCTCATCCCAGTAGAGGCAGAGGAAGTTCATCCTTATTTAAATAATGTTATTAATGGATGACTTACATGTTTTTAACTATGGCTGGTATGCTGACTAGAGGAACCCAGAAAAAACAACTAAAGAAAAGGTTTAAAAGCAAAGAGAAGAAAACTACAGTAAATGAAATGGGATAAACATTAAGACCTGTGAGATGTCTGTACTGACATCTGTTGAATCATTACTTGTATTTCACCTATTAATATCATTTGCCTATATAGATGCAAATACATCATCTACTCCAATAATCAGTTATCCTGAATGCACTACTGCTGATTATACTCAGACTAACTGGCTTAGTATTGTTTACTAGCAACAGCAATTTCAAAGAGAAAGAAGAGATAAACAAGGTTTTAGTACTCTGCTATAAAATCTACAGCTTGATCAACTGCCATCAATTGCTTTCTCTTAATTCTTCTTTGCTCAGGAAAGGATACAATTGCCCTAATGAAGTCAAATGGCAAAATCTATTGACATTTGAAAAAGTTTTCAAAAATTTTCTAGTAAATCTATTTACATTTCTTGTTGCCTTTTATTTTATGCTCATTAGGTGTGCACAGAAGGACGTCTGATCTTGGAATTTACCTTTGATGACCTTATGAGAATAAAAACTTGGCACTTTACCATAAGACAATACAGAGAACTTGTCCCTCGCAGTATTTTAGCCATGCATGTAAGTATTCATCCCAAATTGCTTTCTAAAACTTTTGGAGGCCATCAAAGCCATAATCTGTTGTCCCAGAAAATGTACCTTTGTTGTAGGGGAAAATCTTAGAAGTGGCATTACCTTTGTTATTGTTCAATGATATGTTGAACCAGTGGTGGGATTCAATTTTTTTTACTACTGGTTCTATGGGCGTGGCTTGGTGGGCATGGCAGGGGAAGGATACTATAAAATCTCCAGAGGTGGTATTTGCCAATTCTCTGAACTACTCAAAATTTCCGCTACTGGTTCTCCAGAACTAGTCAGAACCTGCTGAGTACCACATCTGTGTTGAACTACAGCAGGGGTGTCAAACTCATGTTGTCACATCATCATCATATGACGTATTTCAACTTTCCCTCTTCGCTAAACCAGCGTGTGACACATCCAGGGCATGGGCTGTGAGTTTGACAGCCCTGAACTAGAGCATTAGATTGATATCTCTAAAATTTCACTTAATACATTGCTTTTTGAAATAAAATTGGAGGTACATTCAGTGTCATACTTGCACACATTCAGGTTTACTGAATGTTGGAGCAAACCATTTGTTAGCCAGGAAGGTCAGCTACAAGATCCTGCTCTCAGGTTCACCCTCAAATTTTGTTAAATAGGACATAGAAGAGCAAGGGCTTCTCAATGGATAGTTATCTTCAGAATCCACTTCCAACAGAAAAACTACTGAATCCACTTTTATTTATTTATTTAAAAAACGGTCATCTTCTCTACTTAGCACAGAACTTAGCATTACAGGCATGGATATTTCACTGTTTTCCAAAATAATTTTTTTGCTTTCTCCAAATGGCTGATTTGGCCTTTCTGCCTCAAGGTAGATCATATCTGGAATTTCACAATTTCTTATTCTAAAACATTTAAATTCTAGAACCGTTGGTTGATGCACCCGGCCCAAAAACAAACATTTCATGGAACAATAGAATATTTTGTGCATTATATTGAATTCTACACATCTTTGTCCTGAAAGTAAGTGGGCTTTAGTTTTAAACAGCCATGAAGAGTTAGTTCTGCTTTTAATTAATAGTTTTAATTTATACACATAACAGTTGATATTCCATTCTTTTCTCTTTGTATACAGAATAATTTTGTTTTAGAGGGTAGGAAATGTGAATATTTTTTAAAAAGTGTTTTGGGAACTGCATATTTAAATAGCAATATAAATATTTCTCAAACATTTTTATTAGGTTATAAAGTATTATAAAAAGCAAAATGCAAAAGTAAATAAAAGAGCAGTAAAGGGGGAGGGGGGGAAGAGAGAAGTGAGGAAAGATAGGGAAAAGAAAAGAAAAAGCATTGACTTTCGACTCTCTCTGTTGAAGTAGAATAGTAGAACATCAAATCACAGCCTTTTATTTTTCCATAATAATAAGAACAAGTCATTTCTATAAAGATCTATCAATCTAATCTGTAAAACCCAAAGTCAAAATTATACTCTTTTTCGCATCAAGCACAAAATTCTGAAGTGGTTTCCATGTGGAAACAAAAGCACTTACGTTTTTCCTTTAATCAGAGTAGTCAGTTTTGCCATTTAAGACAACTCCATCAAATTCTGCATCCATTCTTCCATGGTAGGTATCGAATCATCTTTCCATTTTTGCTCATACAATAGTCTGACTTCTGTCTACATGTATAATCACAAAGTTCCAATATTTTTCTCCAGTTATTTTTCCATTAGTCTAGGGGTGGGATTCAAAAATCCCAGCAACCGGTTCAGTTGCCCAGTTGCTGGGTGGGAGTGGCCGTGGTGGGCGTGGCCTACCAGAACTTCCGGGAGGGCTGTTTTTTGCCTTCCCAAGGGTCCAGAGGCTTCCCTCGGGCCTCCGGGAGGGCTAAAATGGCCTTCCCCGGGCTCTGGAGGCCCTTCGGAAGCCAGAAACAGGCCTGTTTCTGGACTTCCGGAAGGCTCATTTTCCCCCCTTCCCAGAGCCTCCATGTGGACCTGCACTTACCTGCATCGAAAATGGGCTGCCTGAAAACTCTGGGGAGGAGGGGAGGGGTAGGCAGGGTCAGCCAGTCGGTTCAAATACTGGTTCGTTGAACTAGATGCAAATTTAACATCCAGTTCATCTGAATCGGTCCAAACCGGTAGAATCCTACCCCTGCATTAGTCCCAAAAGGAAAAATTCTGGTTTCATTTCTATCTCTATTTTAAGGGTTTTCTGTATTCAAGTGAATCATAGTCCAAAATTTTGTTGCTTTATCACATGTCTACCATAGATGATAAAAAGTCCCTTCTTTATACTTACACTTCCAATATTCATTTGACATGCCTTTATAAATATTAGATAACTAACATGTGGTGTTAAATACCAGCAATACATCATCTTATAAAAATTATCTTTTAAATTATAATTTAATATAAATTTTAAACCCTTCGTCCACGTATTTTTCCATTGTTCAAGCATCACATTATATCCAAAATTCCTTGCCCACTGAATCATACAATGTTTTTACATGTTCGTTTTCTAAGTTCAGTTTCAATAACATTTTATAAACCTTTATGCATTCATCGTTGCCACATAATAAAAGTTCCAATTCATTTTTAACAAAATCAAATCCATAGTATTTTTTTTTATCCAATTTAAACCTTTCTTTCAATTGCTGATAAGTAAACCAATGGCAAGCATAACCTTCTGATTCACATTCTTTCCTTGCTTTAGTATGGGGTCACCAGAATTTAAAGATAAAGTTTTACCATACGTCAATCTATCTGGCTTTGCCAGATTTTTTTTCATTTCTTTTCTAAAAAAAGTTTCCTGCGGTGACACCCAGAGAGGCAACTACATAGAGAGGCTTGTTTTAAATTTATTCCAAACTCTTAGTATGGCATGTCTAACAAAATGGTTATTAAAGTCAACATTTTGATTTTTGTCATACCATAAATAGCCATGCCATCCAAATCGTAATTCATGTGCCTCTAATTCGAGTAACCTCTTGTTTTGTAAATTCACCCATTCTTTTGCCCAGGTCAAGCAGCATGCATCAAAATACAATTTCATACCTGGTAAGCCCAACCTTCCTCTTTCCTTGGCATCTTGCAATAGCTTATATTGCAATAACTTATATTGGAGTTTTTTTCCTTGCCATATAAACTTAGAAATATCCTTCTGCCATTGTTTAAATGGGTTATCAGTTGTAAGTATTAGTAATGTCTGAAATTAAAAAAGCATCTTTGGTAATATATTCATCTTAATTACAGAGATTCTTCCCAGTAATGATAAATGCAATTTATGCCTTCCTTCTAAATCTTGTTTAATATCCCTCTAAAGAGGAACATAGTTATTTTCAAATATTTATGTTTGTATTTGTCAACCCCAAAGTATTACCCTAAACCCGACTTTTTGTTCAATATATCACTATAGAAGACATATTCTTAGTCAACATTATTGGTTTTTGTTTGCTTATTTTGAAAACTGCCAAAGCCCCAAACTCATTCAGTTTCCTCATTAGGTGTTCTATATTATTGTTTGGATCTTTTAAAAATATAACTAAATCATCAATGAAGGCTCTCAATTTATATATATATATGTTGTTTTCAAGATGGCACCAACAGAGGAAGCATAGTCACATCACAGGCAGATAAGTCACTACTAAAATAAAATAAAATGGGAGGAGTACAGAGGGAAAGATAAGTCACAGAAAAAGAAGAAAGACTGGAGAAAGGAAAAGGAGAGGAAGATTGGAGAAATTAAAAGAGAGAGAAGCTCAGCTGCACCCAAGAGGCCTGAGAGAAGCCCAGCTGCACCTAAAAAGACCAGAGGCCCATTGAAGTGAGGCAAGCAGAGAGTCAAAGCAACTGCAGGCAGCAAAGCCAACCGGTGGAGAATAATGAGGCGAGCCAGTGGGTGAGTGGGGCCAGCTGCGAAGCAGGGAGGAAAATCAGCCATGAGGCAGAGAGGCCAGCCAACCAAGGCCAGCGCAACGACCAGCAGAGAACAAAGAGGTGAGCTAGTGAGAGCAAAACAGGGAAGAGGAGAAAAGAGAAGAGGCGAACTTGTTGTGGATCATTGAGCCAGTGAAAGAATGCAGCAGGGAGGAATGGAATAGAAGAGAGATGAGCTTGCTGGGGACCATCCAGGCAATGCTGTTTGCTGGTGGAAGCAGTGTCCCCAATGCAACGGACAGCAAATGGGAGTCACGTGGCTCCAGAGCAAAAAGCAGGGAGGAGAGAGAGAGCCAGCAGCAGCAGCATGGGGCAGCACGTGAGCTAGAACCTGAGAGCACTGCAGAGAGCAACCGAGAAAGAGACAGTGGAGCTGAGTGGAACACACCGGACAGCAGAGCTGAGCTGACCAGAAAGCTGCACAAGAGAGCTGACCAGAGCAAGGACAAAGCTGAAAAGGCCGGAGCACCAAAGGACAGAATGGAGCTGGCAGAGAAAACAACAAGCGATGGGAGCAGCAAACGAGGGAAGTGAAGGCAAGTGGCAAACGAGGGAAGTGAAGCCTGAGGTTCCAATAGGCAGGGAGGGAAGACCCCAGTAGAGAATAAAATAAACACAGGACAGAAAATAAAAGACAAATAAATAAGCAAATAATAAGGACAAGAGTGAAAAATTAGAAATCAAGGAAGAATAGGATTAATAAAGATCAATCAAATAAATAAGGCAAATCTTAAATAATAAGATAAGGAGGAACTGGAGCTCAAAAACTTTTTAAAAAATATACGGAAGAAAGGGATTAAAAAAGCTAACATAATAGTAAGTAAGTAAAATAAATAAGGTATAAAAACAAGCACAAAAACGCAGAAAAAAAGATAGAAAAAAAAAAGATACAAAATTCTATACCCTTAAAAGAACCAGCAAAAAGAAATAAACTCGTGGAACAGATGACTGATACTATTGTGGTATGCAATATATGTTCCATGTATGTGCTTATGCCCAAAGAACACCCAAATTACACATGTATTAAATGTAAGCTATGTGAACTACTAGAGAAAAAAGTAAGGGTTCTAGAGGC